TTCTGGCGCCACCCCTGAGACCAATTTTTTGTACATTCGATCAATATGTCCAAAGGGAAAATATTTGCAAGATCGCCATCAAGACAATGTGTAGAATGATGTTTGCAACTGGTATCACCAAGGAATCCAGTTATTTGTGCAGTATAATTGGAACAGAAAAGGAAATAGTATTTGAGATACTCAATCAGGATACATTCACAGAATGGACCAGATTTAAAAGATAATTATGAGATATAATTATGTATAAGATTTTTCATAACATGGCTCCCTCTTATTTGACCGAACGCTTTACATTTAAGGAACAAAATTATTTAACCAGATTAAATGATGTCTTAAATTTGATCGTCTTCACACGGAATACAAAAAGAAAAGTTTATCTTACCGTGGTGCTATTCTCTGGAACGCACTGGATGAACATGTTAGAAATGCTTCAAATGTTAAAATATTTCAAACACTTTTGTAAAATTTGTGGTTTATTTTTTGTATCTCGTATTTGTATATAATTTTGTCTTTTTTTTAGATTATGTGTTAGTATTTTTATACTATTATGTTGCAACTTCAATGACAACACTGCCTTGTAGAATAACACCGTCTGGGTGAGACAAGCTTTCCGCGTAAAAAAAAGTTTTAATGATAATAAAAAGGTGGTAATTTTGACTACCAAACCCAAGTCTAACTCTGATGCGGGCCTGATTGGGCTTATGAGTACGCGTGTCAAGGAAACTCTGCCTCTCTAAAGTTAAAGCGTCATGATTACGTCTTTAAGATAAGATAAGATAAGATAACTTTATTTTTCCACAAGGGAAATTAAAGTATTAATTGGTACATCTTTCGTTAGGAATTGCATTACCTTGTTCCATACTAGTTGGTCCTGAGCCGCTAGGAGTTCGTCCAATCTCTGACAGTGTCCTGTCGATACCAGGGTATAAACTACTTCGGCGACGTCCCATGTTCTTGTCTGTCTGTTTCTCTGATTTCGTCTTCTTCTGCTTGTGATGTCTGTGACGTTGCAGGATAGCATCGCGGACTCCAGCCCGGTCCTTCTCCTCCAGCATACCACGGTTGATGATGTTGTCCAATGTAAGGTCTGACAGTGACATAACGACATGAGAGTTTATGATATTGTTTGCGAACCTCTCACATGTTTAATTATATCTACAACTCGTAAACGTTTATAATAATTATACAATAACAATAATAATTGATAAAAACAATAATATAAAATCATTTTACGTAAACCTTTCATGGGCTTAAAGTAGGCCTATAATATGATCCAAATACAGCAAAAACATTGGGAGCAGGTTCATACCAATTGATTTTGTAATGGTTTCTTTTAAAACTGTCTCATTCCTCATTCGATTAATAACAACGGCAACTCGGTAAGAAATTGCGAATTAGGCATATAGGCCTAAATAGCGCTTTAGTGAGATGCTAATGCAGACTCTTCATTGGAACACTCCTATTTGAAGCCACATGACATCCGATTCCCTGGTAAGTACCTACAAAGTACGGTTAACAACCGAATTTACAGATGCGTAGCTTTGTAGGGATGATATTATTCATCCTTGACCAACAATCGTATAGATAGCCATATTTATGAATTCAAGAGTAACTCACTTGTGATTTCTATTAAATTCTCTGCGTCCATGTCAAGGAGGATTGAACCGTTTTTTATACATCGCCTGAGCTCAAATAGACTGTGCATAGATAGTGCGGCAACGTGAGGCTTACTCCATCGACCAGCCCCAAGATCTACATTCTCTTCGTATTTTATCCACCTGGGATGAAGACAAATAATGGATTATGTTATTTATCACTTCCACCATCATCGTCAACATCATTATTGCCTTCGTTAAATTCCGCCATCGTCATTTCTTCACCATCATTATCATGATCGACTTCATCATCATCACCTAATCTTTATCATCCTCATCATTATCATCATCATCACAACATCATCATCATCAGCGTCGTCATCAATTTCCAGTTGTCATTACATCATTGCTCATAAACCATATATCATCGCCAACTCCTTCCTCCGTATCATCATTTATATAATAACCATCATCATTATTGTCCCATAATATTCATTATATTTATTACCTTCGTTTTAAAAATCATAAGTGTCATCGACATAATTATATATCGTACTCACAATCATTACTCTCATTGTCATCACCAAGTTAGCAACATCATCGTCACCACCACTATCATCATCATAATCGTCACCATAGATTTCTGTTGCGATAAACTATAATACCTGGCTGTTTCTTTCCACTCCAGGACTTGACCATTTTCATCATAAAACAGTTCCTCCATTTCTGAGAAGATAGGATGCTTAGGACCCTCCTTATCTTCATCGTCGGCATCGTTTTCGCCCTCACCAAGCAGAAAATGTACCCTCTGTGAGTGCTCATCTATAATTATAAACCGAAATATCTATTATTAGTATTTAAATGTTTATATAGAATTAATGTTGCTGCTGTTTCCGCCATTACTTGATTATCTATGTATATATAAGGTCT